GAATTAAGGTTTTCGGAAATATTTGAGAACTCCATTGCTCAGTAGATGCTGAAATGCCGAGTGACGGAAATGTCTAAGTGAGGCTCGTTTTATACTGTTAACAATGCAGCGTCTATTGGCTGTATATTTTGGGTAAAAGATGATTCTAGACATTTTGTTTAACATAAGCTCAATATTATTGGATACATACGTTGAATCCTAGTGCAAATTTCAATAATTATGATAATATGTTTCAGTATTTGACTATGCACAAAGGTTATTCAAATGCCAGTGTTTGTACTCGTCTATCAATCCAACTTTAAAGATACCGCTATATATATATATATGGTTTTAACTGCACAAATAGCCACATGTTGTATAACGATTCCCAGCAACTTGATTTATTAACCAGATACCGACGACGCGTACATCAGTAGCAGAGTGGTAATTAAACATTCATGTTTACCAAGAAAAATTATTTAACAATAAGTGTACATGAAATAAAATACAGTACTCGTTTATTGGCACACACAGTGCAAACAAATTATTCTATATACTACAATATTTTTATTATGCATTTCACTAAATACTAACAATAATCGACAAGCTTTTGATTCAAATTAAAAATAATCATAATGTGTATAGCTGTTCTGAAATTGTTCATGCGAAACTTACTTCATACATCTCTCCTCATTCTGAAGAGTCTTGGACTGTTGTTCACTTCTCAATACTCTTGTACAAATAATTCACGTTAGTATTTTGATCTTTTCCATAAGTTGACGCAGAGTTTATAGAGTGATTATCGATCGTCGAACTTTCCTGGAAACTGACCTAAAAGTGACATTCAGATTCATTAATTTTGTGACAACATCTCTTTATGTTACTTTTTTTGGCCAACAATGTTCGTGATAGTTTGTGAAAACTGTTGTTTCAGACTTCGTAATGTAAATCAACATACATAATGCATGTGATATTAGTTGCACAGATTGCTTGGATTTGAAATTACATATTTGTTCTTTATGATAGACTTTTTTCAACTACAGTAGAAAGTATATATTTACAGATTGCTTAGTACTTAAATGGTATACACATAACATATAGCTAGCTGATTTGCGTACGTTACAAGATATATTTTTGTTAATTGATCTGTGTGCGTAAGTTAAAACTAACAACACCTTAATATGCATGATAGAATGTGACACTTAAATACAAAAACTGTATGTTACACTTATGCGGGGACTTGATACATCAGTATCTTAGGGATCAAATCTAAGCTTTGTATTAATATTTAATTCATGTTTCTATAACCTTGCCGATGTAAGTAATCGTTAAATTTACCATATTAATGTAATCCCAAGTTTTAAAACTGAAGAATCTGTTTAACCCACATTCTGACTGCGATATAAGTATGTATAACTACATTTAACTACATTTCTTATAGTATTCGGACACTGATAATTATTATATATTTAGATATTTTGCCATGATTAAATGGCACACAAGTATGGATTAAATGATTATCGCGTTTTGCAATGTGTTTGCCATATAAAGAAAAACAGACCTCTAATATTTCGATAAATCTGCCTGAATTTCAATACACACAAAATACACGTTTCATTTCACCAACTTTATCACTACTAAGCAAATTCTATTGATTTCATAAAACGCACTTTTATTGAGATTTTATTCATTTCAGAAAACGTGTCCAAGTCTTCTACAGCAGCACCCGAACAGCTCTGCTATGCCATTTCTGAATTGCTTTCGCGTTAAGACGTAAATCAGTGGATCAATAGTGTGGTTCACTATAAGCAATAATATTGAAGTCTGTAGAAATGTTATGCTGAATCCTCCCGTTGCGGCCATCCATATCTCATGCATCTGCAAACAAAACAAAAATGAAATACGTTTATGTTATGTTTATACTTGCCTCTTTGAGAACAACTGTATCAATGGAAACGTTACTGAATGAAATAATATGGTTGTTGAATAATAATTAGCTGGAGATGCGTTAATTTACATCTCCTATATACGTTTCCGACAACATCCTAGCTTAGCGCAATAAAACATTGCATTTTAATTCACACAGTCCCGCTATACTATTCTGTATGGACTGGATACGGCCTTTTTGGCCCGAGGTCGTGCGGCGTAAGCCGTACGACCGAGGGCCGCAAAAGTCGTATCCAATCCATAAAGGTTTTATCATACACCTTATATAAAAAAAGAGTCTTTTGTTATTTTTTGCTCGTCTGGCCCAAAAGAAAACCTATTCGATTTAATACAGGTTTCGATACGAGCCTTTTTACTGGCGCGAATTGATACGGCGGATTCTAAACGAAGCAAACGCGTCAACAACTCTCACACAAAACACAAACGAATGTCGCCAAATATATCCACAAATTACGTTTTAATTGAAACATCAAATGAACGTAAATTTACAACAATATTTTAACGGTAATAAATACGAACTCAATATAAACTTTCTTTCATAAGAATGAACACTACAGTCCAGCTAAATTGGTCATTTACTGACTGTCCGAATAACACATAACAAACAGACGTTTTCTTGGAACTTTTGTAGCCGCAGGTTGATTTCACAGTTGTTAAAAACTGACAAAATTGACAAGAAGCAGTTTGGTTTACACAACCGTTTACAGTTCTAGATTCGGGCGTAGCTCAACTAAGAATATCTGAAATGCGCCGACGATCATCCTTGGCTTTCGTCAGGGTAATAATGAGTCGAAATGGTGTTTTGGTATATTTCCAATTCACGGAATGATATCGTCAGTTATTATCGAAACGCATACGATAATTTCAAAATACGTAGTTCCAGACGCGTTTACCAAATATGGTAAACGGGCCCGGCCGTGATGTGAAAAATTATTGCACGGCTCGCGCATCGGGATTCCCATAGCGTTACGAGGCCGGGCAATACGAGGTATACGGTAAAGGATAAATACTCTATGTACATATATTATATTCGGTAAACGTTAGTCCACAAAGTGCTATGGTGAGTCAAATCAAATCGTTTGTTTATACGAAACATGTATTATATTGCATGTTTTATGCGTATGCCTTGTTTTTCGTTTCTTGTTCTTTTCTTGATTGGATCACAGTTAATTTGTATTTAACTGATGTTGAAAGAATCAGTTAATGAACGAGTCGCTATTGGTAACAGAAATACAGGCTATTACGATTCATGCAATTTTTTCTTCAATAATGTTTGGTTCGTGCATAAAACAAATAAAAGATAATTACCATAAATGTTCCCCAACAAAGCAAGAACACGGCTGATAACATAACGATTGTCGCAGCAAATCGAACTTCATTTGTCAGTTTCGGCATCACGCGTCGATCTCCGTTTGTAGACGACGATGGCTGACTTGCTGGTTCAATTAATTTGTGAAGTTTCGACACTTGTCGTACCATGGCCACGTTGCAGTAAATAACACTGGTCAAGAGTATAACCGAGTTGGTGATGTAAACGATGAAATAAGTTTTGTCAAGCGGATTGATGAAAGACGAGATGCTTTTGCACATCACTCTATCTTCCACACTGAACTGGTATGAGCCGAACCCCAAAACGGGCAGTAACGCCATTGTAGTAGCAGTCAGCAATACGATCAGAAGCAATATGTATACCTTCAGCGGCGTTACCAGTGAGGTATAAGTGTATGGTCGAGAGAGTGCAATGTATCGGTCCGATGCCATGAGCCCAGTTACATAGCCAGCACTGAAGGTAGTAAATGTGGCGATCACTGCTTGAATTGGGCATGTTACGACACCGTAACTGCGTAGAAATAATACCAGAGGTCTGGTTGTTGAATTTAAACATGCGCCAATAAGGTCAACATATACCTGCGCTCGAAGAAGAATATTAGCTGGTATGTTCGGATTCTCCATGTATTTAGTGATAATTGACAAGAGCTAACCCGTTTGCCACGATACCTATTACGCCAGTGAGTGTTATGAATACGCTGATAGTGTTATTTGGTTTAAAGGGATACCTCGCAATATGAACCATGGTAGCATTTAGTGCCTCTGATATATTGGAGAACTGCATTGCGCAATCGATCGATCGATGGTAGGTGGTAGAATGGTAGATGGTAGAAATGTTTCAGCTCAGCTAATTTATTAACAACGCAACTTGTCGCTGACAGGCGGAGATGTTGACTAAAAGAGAATTCTGGTATTGTTGTTTTACGGAAATCAGAATGTGAGTAATAATTTTGAATGGGTTTGAGTATTCGGCTAATCAGGAGATTCTGCTAAATGTAGCAATTCGTCCTTTGTTGTCGAAATAGTGCATTTTAGTTGTAGCCGTGTTATAACAAAGAACATACAGAAACGTGTTCTATATAAGTCGAGAAATGTGCTATTAATCACAAAAATGTTAATATTCGATGCGAATGTGTGTAAGACACATTCAGGAAAATGTATAATATATTGATTCGTAAATGTCATTGTTGAAAATGCTGTGAACAAACTTTATTTCAATAGATTAATATTCGGAATGATTCGAACTCGCGGTGAATTGATGTACTGTCGTCAGTCTAGCAATCAATTCAACATGTCGCATGTAACACTTTTTCAAGAGAATTTTCATGTAATATAAAATGTCCGAGATAAAATGTTGGTTAGGGCCGAGTCGAGACTTGTTATTTTGGAAAGACTTTATATTTAGAGAAATCGCAGAACGAGAGCTTATCGCATTCAAAAACCGAATCGTCCCGAATTATCTAT